AGCACTGCCCACAGCGGGACAGAGACTGGAGCTGGTTGACGGACCTGTTCCACTGCATGAGGCCGGGGAAAGGCAGCCGATCCGGAGATCTCTCCGGAGGATCTGGGGGGGGGGGGAGTGGAGAGTCTAGGGGGTTGGAAGATATCACACTGTGCATACTCCTGCGTGAGTTTCCTACTGCGTGCACAGCCTGACTTTTCAAAACCCCTACCACAGGAAGGAATGGGAACTGGGTTTCCTCTGGGGTGCTGGGAACACTGGGAACTACAGAGAGGTAGGGGCCGAGCAATGCGTGAATGCCCTTGATTCCTGCCTGCTGAAACCAGCCGGTGGGGCTGGTTCCATCACATGAATTCTATCGAGACAAAGTAGATGTGTGGCCGGCTGGGGGGCGGGGGACCCTTGCTTCAGACCTGGCCCGGTGTGCAGGTGGGGGTGGCTGAGGGAAGGGCCAGGCTCTAACTGGCACCCACGGAGCCAGCTTGAGAGAGGCACACGCAGAAAATGCTGGCCACAGCTCTGCCCGCCCAATTCTGGCTTGTAACAGCACGCACGCCAACCACAAGATAGCCCTCAGCCGGCGGTGCGAGAACACTGGTGCAGGCAGTATTGAGGAGCAAGGGCCTGCCTTGTGCCCTGGCTGTTCATTCTAGGAGGAAGGATGCGTCTCTCCCAGGGGACTGGTGGCCTGCAGGGTATGGGACAGGAGACCAGCCATTACCCCAAATCCTACAAAGCTGTGCAACAGAGAATTCAGCCTCAGTGGGGAACCCCTGGGAGAAGTCTCCAGGAATAAGTGTGGTCAGCAGTGTGTGCGAAGGCCCAGAAGTAGACTGGAAGGAAAAATGTTTGAACTTGAATGAATGCGCCCTCTGCACGCTAGCAGACCCCGACTTCTCAGACGGGGCCAGGCCGCAGCACCCCAACCTCAGTAGAGAAGCCCTTGCATTAAGGATGAATAGAGCTGAAATAGTTCTTTGCATCTATGAAAACACATAAAACCTGCTGGAATTGTTCGAGGACGTCGGTAAGGGAGAGAGACAGGCTGGTGGACTCCTGGAATGCCTTGAACAGGGGGCTCATGGTTTCCCTGGCTGGCGGTGTCGCCATGGTGGCAAAAGCAGCCGAGGACGTACGGGTCTTGATGGAGAGAAACTTCTTGCCCTCAGCTGAGATCCTCCGTCTAGCTGCCTCCTCTCCACCTCAAGGTCTGGGGTGGCTGTTGGGGAAGGTGCCGAGCTGTGAGGATTTTCCGTTTCACAATGACACTGCTCCCTCGGTTACCACTCATTTTATTTAGGACTCAACACCAACTGAACATCACCACGTCACGTATTTTCACATTCACAAATTGGATTCGGCGGCCAATCCGCACATGAGCTCTGTGAGCATGTTTTATGACACCCACGTTTTCACAGATGCCCCACGGGGTCAATCCGGTGACCGCTAGTTTTTGTTGAGACAAGATCTCACGATGTAGGCCCAGGCTGACCTGAGACGCACTCACTCTCGGTCCTCTGCTCCACACGTGCCACCAGCCTGGCTAGAGAGCTCTTTTTCAAACCAATATCCACAAGACCAAGGGCATTTGCCTCCCCGCCATCCACAGAGCTCCTGGATGGGCACAGCCCTGCTGGCCTCTCCCAGCCACGAATGTGGCGGCGGACGCGACGTCTCTCACCCCGCAGCAGCCTGAGCAGCGGGGCACGCAGCGCAGCTGGGAGCCCAGCATGCCGTGCAAGGCATTGTTTGCTTGGACGGTTCCTGTCCCACCACAGAGGGATGAATCCAGACTGACAATGTGTCCAAGCCACGCAGCTGGGCAGGAGTCACTGCTGACTTCCCGAGCACAATCAGACACGGACAGAAAGGAGATCCTTAAAAACTCACGGCTGGAGTCATGGCTTAGGTGGTTCAGTGCTTACCTAGCAAGCACCAAGTCCCGAGTCTGTGCCCCCATACTACAAAAAATAATCTCCCCCCACCTCCCCACTTTTATACCAGATTAAAAAAAAATCCACATACTTTCCTACCCAACGTACACACGAAGGAAGAGTGTGAGGCCAGCCTGGTACGCCCGCTCCCTGGGCCTTCACCCAAACCACGCTTCCCTGCAGGCTGAGTGGGAAAAGCTACGAGAGTCCACTTGGAGACTTCTGCCTAACCGGAAGCAACTATTAATCCTGTGAGTCTGATGATACGCTGGAGTTCATAAGAAATGTGACAAAGTAATTATCTGTAAAAATTAAATGCATTCCTGTAGGGGCAATCGGCAATCTGGATAGGGTTCTGTGCCTGAGCTAGCCGCACCGGCCCGTGCTAGTTTCTGTGTTGATCTTAACACTGGAAGGTGAGGCAGGGGTCTCTGGAAACTGCCATATCAGCAGCAATTCTGCAAATCACTTCCAAAAAACAAAAAAATGCAGGCCAGCCCAGCTCAAACTGGCAGATACTTGTCTAGCAAGTACAAGGCCCTGAGCCAAACCTCAGTACCAACAAAACAAGAAGGTACAAAAAGAAAATTGTTAAATATAAAATCCTTGGACTGGAGGTGTGGTTCAAGTGGTAGAGCACCAGCCATGAGTGAAAAAGCCAAGTGACCCCAAGGCCCTGAGTTCAAGCCCCAGAATTGCTTCTTTTAAAGTAAAAACTGAAATACTCAGTTGAATAATTAACTCAAGTAATTCATAAAATACAAGTGACTTGCAGTCATATCATAAATTTTTTTTAAAAAGCTGATTTTCTAAGGCCCTTCAGGCATATGATCTTCAATAACAAATGCATTTAATTTAATGAACTGGCTTAGGTTAGGTTCAATATTTGGTTTCAAAATAAATGTTTAAAATTTTCTAAAAATGATAATTCATTATGAAAGTCCATCAAATGTTGGTCCACTTTTTAACATGAAAAGCTAATAACCAAGGAATAGGAAACATTAATAAAATAAATTGTGCTCAGGATATTTAGTATCTAGTCATAAGAACAACAATAAGGGGCTGGGAAGGTGGCTCAGTGGTAGAACGCTTGCCTTGAGGCCCTGGGTTCCATTCCTCAGCACCACATAGGCAAAAAGAAAAAAGCTGGAAGTGGCACTGTGGCTCAAGTGGTAGAACTCTAGCCTTGAGCTGAAGAGCTGAGGGACAGCGCCCAGGCCCATGACCGGACTCAAAAAAAAAAAGAACAATAATAAGAGTAAAAATAAAAATTATCATACTTTCCTTTTTGTAGAAAAGTCAGGAATAAAAAGATATTATACCAGGCGCTGGTGGCTCACATCTGTAATCCTAACTACTCAGGAGCTGAGATGTAAGGATCGTAGTTCAAAGCCAACTTGGGCAGGAAAAGTCTGTGGGATTCTTATCTCCAATTTAACCAACAGAATATAGGAAGTAAGCTGTGACCCAAAGTGGCAGAGTGCTAGAGCTCAGGGACAAAATCAAGCCCCACGACTGACAAAAAAAAAAAGCCAAGATACTAAATTGAAGAACTGAGTATTTTTAGCTAGGTGTAGGGGCTCACATCTGTAATCCTAGGTACTCAAGATAGGAGGACTGCAATTTGAGGACAGCAAAGGAGATCATCTTCATAAAATGTTGGCCCCCACTTGTCCTCCAGCTACATGGTAAGTGTAAATAGGAGGATTTTAATCCAGGCTGGTCTGGGAAAATAGTGAGACCCTATTCATACTAATAGAAAGTGGAAGAGCACCTGCCTAGTGAGCACAGTACTGCGTTCAAACCACAGTATTGCCCCAAAGTATGGTAATAAAAGAACGATTTTGTGTATGCCTTTACAGCAAAGAACTCTCCTCTCTGATGTGCAAATAGCAAGTGGTCTCCTGGGCTGACACCCCCCAGGATGGCCACCGCAGGGCTCCGTGGGCAGCCCACTCCTATGCCAGACTGCCGGCAGAGTTCCACAAGCAGTGCTCAGGTTCACTTCACCTTTTCTTGCAAGGCTTCATTTTCAAAGGGCCTTCAAAGTCCCGGTAACAACGCACGTGACTCTCACGATGGCTGGGCCTGGGGAAGCCCCGGCCCCTCTGGCTGAGGACAGCGGACTCAGCTGGGAGCTAATGACGCAACAAGACAGCGTTTAGCCAGGCGTCCACGCCTGTGATCACAGCACTCCCAGGGAGCTGAGACAGGACGTGGGGTTGGAGGCCAGCCTAGGTCGTGTAGTGAGACCTTGTCTCATAAACACCCCTCCCCCCAGACGAAAACCAAAGATGGTGTTTAATGAACACCAAAGTCTGCGGTACAAGCCCGGGTGGCGGGCCCACGGGGAGGTGTGGGAGGCCTGCGGTGCTTTCTGGGGTGGGCAGTGGCACCCCTCCCGGTGTTTCCCCGGGGGGTAGAGCAGGGCAGCACTGGCCCCTCCCAGGGGCCCGCGCTTGGCTCAGCGGGTTGGCAGGCCTTGCAGGGTCCCTGCCCTGGGTCTGGCAGGCGTCGCCGTAACCCTGCCGCAGGGTGGGATGAGCCCGCACAGAGAGAGCCCCGGCCTGGCACATGGCATCTCTGAGGCGTGCTAGCGGCAGCCATGTGCAGCGGGACGCAGGCCTGTGCCCGAGACCCAGGCCTCCGCGGCCCCCAGGTAGCCAGTTGGGTCACTGCCTCTCCCTTCTTTCCTCTGTGGAGCCCTGGGGGGGTGTCATGGGAAGGTGGCGCTTCCTGAAGTGCTCACAGTACCCACAGTGCACTGGGCCAGTGCAGGCTTCAGTGGCCCGAAGGCCACAGGGACAGGGGCAGCACGCAGAAGACTGTGGCACATGGCAAGCCACGGGGGAGCTGGGGGGTCAAATATCCAAGCAGAGTAGTGGCAGAGGTGCCGGGTGGGCAGGACGTGGGCACAGGGCCCGATGAAGAGCAGGGAGGGGTCGGGCTGGGGAGGCATGCCATGCTGACGGGCGCGGGCGGCCACAGGGAGGGAGGGAGAGCAGCACAGAGACTGTGGGGGCTGGAGAGGGCTGGGCAGCCCCCACGAGTCCACGCATCTCCAGGAGGTCCTTGGCAATGGAGGAAGGCCGCCCGGATGCACCTCCTCGGCTGTGGACTCTCCACCAGGCTTGGCGAGAGTTTCTGGCTCTGCAGAAACACAAGGAAACATGACGTTCCCTCTGGTGCCTCCCACCGGCCCAGGGCCGTGTGTGTGTGTGTGTGTGTGTGTGTGTGTGTGTGTGCACGCGTGTGTGTGTGTGTGTGTGTGTGCGTGCGTACCCGTGTGTATGTGTGTGTGTGTGCGCGCGTGCGCGTGTCCGTGTGTGTGTGTGTGTGTGTGTGTGTGTTCAGCACACACTCTGCTCTCTTCTCTCCTATCCCATGACTGCTCATGCAGTCGAGGGGAGCCTCTAGGGCAGGGTAACTTCCAGAGAGGAAGCTCTGGGGGAGGTGGGACTGGGTGCCATGAGGGAGGAAATGCCCCTGGGGGCCTGGGGGGAGGGGGGGAGGGGACGGTCCTGCAGGATGCAGGAAGCAAGTCCAAAGGCTGAGCAAGAAGCCAGGCTGTGGGAGGACCGCAATATCAGGAGACACCAGCAGGGGGCAGCACTGGCCCACATTGGGCAGAAGGTCCTTCTTTTCCCCACGCCCTTCACTGGGTGCAGATGAGGCTCAGGACCAGCCAGCGGCGTACTTTCCACAGGCTCAAGCTGGGGCCAGAACCCCTCCACAAAGAGCCAGGGGCTTGGGTACGAGCACCCTGTGCTCCCCACATGGGCTCTGGGCAGGGCTGGAGCGGGCAATGCATCTCTTGAGCTTTCCCAGAGAAGCTGGTCACTGGGGGAGAACCAACCCATCCCCGAGGTGGAGGGCAGCCAGACCACGCAGGGCCAGACGGTGCCCATGATGTAAGCCGACCCTGCCCACCCCAGGCCACGCCCCACCTGCCCAGAGCCGCGGCTCAGTCTCCGTCAGCAGAGGCCGTCACTGGGTGTCGGGGTCTTGGAAGCCCCAGGCCTCTATGGCGGCAATGAGGAAGTTCTCGGAGCACAGGGGCTGGTTGTTAAAGGTGTCACAGTGCCCGGTGCGGCCCCGGTTCAAGTCCCCATCGATGTAGAGCGCCTGGCCGCCACCTCCCCCTGTGGGAGGCTGAGGTCAGTGGCCACCTGTGCCCAGCACCGCTCCCCTCCCACCCGCCAGGAGTCCAGCCCTCCTGGCCCTAAATCTCCCACTGACCTCCGCCCTCCCCGCCCAGCCCTTGGAACCTGCTGTCTAGGCCATGACTCCCAACCCCTTGCCTGGTCTCTCCGGCAGCACAGGGCCTCTTCTGTTGCTATCACGGGGCTCAGGTAAGACCTCTGGCTGGACGTGGGGGCTTCAGCCTTCCCCCGCCCCCCACCCCACCCTGGCCTTCCTCGCAGGACAGACCGGGCCCAGGCTGGCGTGGAAGGAGTGGGTACCCACCGATGATGAGGCAGTCGCTGCCCCCCGCCATGAACATGGACTCGGTCTTGGAGGGCAGGTTGAAGTGCCGAGCAGCCAGGAAGGGGGAGAGCCGGTCAGCGGGGTCTGAGGACACGGGGTGGCTGAAGGGGGAGGGAGTGGCAGTGGTCTCTGAGGACAGGAAGGATGCTGTCTGCTTGCTCAGCTCTGGGTGCTTGATGACCACCCACTCATAACGCTGCACCTCTGGCTGCAGCTGAGGGCGAACGGGGAAGCGTGAGTTCCTGGCACATGCCAACCCGCTGGGCGCCTTCTGCCCCTCCCCGCCAGCCCTGGCCGTCTCCAGTCCACCACTCTGCGGTGGGCCAGCTGGGCCCCGCTGGCTTGCGGTGGGGGGGTGGGCTCTCGAGGTGGGGGGCATTTGGAACTAGAGGCAAAGGAGATCGCCCTGGAGGGGGACCGCCACCATAGAAACAAGCCAGGGCCACGTAAGCCAGGGTGCCAGGGCTCAGGTCACACAACTCCCCAGCAGAAGATGCTCGGCCCCACTTACCCGGAACACGAAGCATTCTCCAGTCCCAAAGAAGCAGAGTTTGCCGCCAAACTTATTCCTCTCGCTCCAGTCTGTTGACAGGTAGGCGCCACACACCTGGGGAGGAAGGCTGGGCTGAGGCCTGGCCCTCAGCAACACTGCCCGGTGCACGCCTGCTGGGGACAGTCACAGTCGCAGCTGGGGGGGCTGGGTGCTACAGCTCCCCACCAGGAGCAAGGTGGGTGGGGAGAGGGTTGAGGTTGGGTCCTCCCGATACTTCTGTCTCCCCTACAGGCCCTCAAGTTCAGGAAGAAGTTCCCAGGATGGACCGTGTCCACACTGATGGTGGTGCCAGCCCAGTGACGGGCACGCTGGCCTGAGACCGGGTCCCCGGCCCGTCGGGGCCTCCTCACCTCCTTCTGCGTGGTCTTGATGAGCAGGAGGGTGGGCTCATGCCGTTCGCACTGGAAGTAGAACCTGCAGACAGAGACCACACATGCTGCTCTGCGTCCCTCCCGGCCGCCTGCGGCAGCCGCCGAACTGCAAAGCCAGGAGCCCCGAGCGGCCGCTCTCCGCTGTCTCGTGTGCACCTTCGCGCCTTGCTGCTGCCCCGGCACCTGCCCCGGTGTGCGAGGGGAGGGAGAAGCCTCACGGCACATGTCCCCCTGTGGGCAGAGCCCAGTGCCAGGCGCCGTGGGCAAAGGAGACCCAGAGGAAGAGGTCCTTGCTGAAGGAGAGCACAGGTCCCGGCCGCCCGGCACGTCGGCTTGGCGAGTGGCCCTGTAGGCTGAGCGAAGTGGCTCCAGCTGTGCTAAAATGCTTGCACGGCGGTTGCAGACGGGCCTGGGTGGGGCTGGGCCACTCTGCCCGCACCACCCTTGCCAGGTCACAAGCAGAGTTTGTGACTAACTCATTTGAGCCTTGAAGTGCTGAATTGGGGTGATCCTGCCCACGCTGCCCCAGGGCTGGGAGGCCTACCTGGGGGAGACCCGGCCAGAATGCCACGCGGGTGGCGGGTGGAGTCACCGAGCCACAGGCTGGCACAGCTTCAGCCACGCAAACTGCCACCTGCGCCAGGCCAGTGAGCCACACAGGGGGAGGGGTGGGGAGAGAGAGGAGCCAGGAGGCCGGGCTTTGTCCCATTCAGTCCTCCCCTCGGTCCCATGCCCTCCTGAGGCGGAAGGCTACCTCTTCCCCTACGTCCCCCCCGGAGCTGTAGTGTATGCATTAATGACCTTCAAAGTCTGGGCAGCCTGGGATAACAGAAGCCCAGAAAAAGGGCTTCAAATTCTCAGGCTCCATAAGTGAGGCTGGGCCTCCCTAGAGGCCCAAGCTCAAAGACTCATTTGTAGTCATCCCGTGACCTCCCGCAGGTGGCAAGCAGGATATGCCTGAGGGCACCATGCGACTTCCCTGAGGCTCCAGAGCCTCACCTGGTCAGGCTGTACCCGTGCTGCAGGGAGGAGAAGAGAAGGAGGGGCTGGCAGAGGGCAAATCGCTCTGGGACCCACGACCAGATGTCTCTCATCTCCTTCACGCTGACAATCTCTGAGTGGAAGTTCTCTGCATGCACGGCCAAGTGCACAAACTGCCTGCAAAAAGAAGGGAGGGGTCAGTGCCCCCAGCCCTGACCACACACCCGGCCTGAGCCCAGCGCCTTTCCTTGAAACTAAGCTAGCCGGGCGCTGGTGGCTCACACCTGTAATCCTAGCTACTCAGGAGGCTGAGATCTGAGGATAGCGGTTCAAAGCCAGCCCGGGCAGGAGAGACCGTGAGACTCCTATCTCCAATAAACCACCAGAAAACCGGAAGTGGCGCTGTGGCTCAAGTGGTAGAGCGCTAGCCTTGAGCTGAAGAGCTGAGGGACAGCGCCCAGGCCCAGAGTTCAAGCCCCACGACCGACAAAAAAAAAAAAAAAAAGAAACTAAGCTAAAGGGGACACCTCACTTCCTCAACCAGGCTCAGAGCCTGGTTCCAGGTGCCAAACAGGATCGATCTGTTCTCTGGGATGCCCCCTTCCCTTCCCCTCTCCCTATCCCCACCCCCCTTTTCCCCTGCTTGCTACAGAGAGGGGACAGGAAGATAACAAAAGCAACTTTTCTCTCATTAATCAAGACAGACTATAGCTCTGGTGAGAAGAGTGCTGCGGGACTAGCCAAGCACCGGCAGATTGTACAGCCAAGGCAGAAAAATGGATGGACGGACAGACAGACAAGACAGATGAACCGTGCTGGAGTCAGGCTGAGGCAGTGCGTGGAAGCCAGCCCATGAGAACCAGCCAGGCCCTGAGAAACAGCAAGCAGCCAGCTCACAGTGGGACAGCAGGAAAGCAGAGAAGCCAGGTGTGGAGGTGTGGTTTCAGACCTACCTTTTAGAAAGCGAGACACTGAAAAACAGGAGGAAGCAACGGACACGGAGAAGAAAAATAAAATAGACAAGGAGAAGTTAGTGGCGGGTCCCGATCCCTGATCACACTTTCTTTGGCCCAGGAGAAAGAGAACTCCATGCCAACAGCCATGCCTACAGCACCATCTCAGCACGGGCTGTGAACCAGCACGCTCCTGGGGGCTGCGCCAGGGCACGGAGGCCACACCAAGCCAGCCAGCGGCTGTGGAGGGCGCAGCAGGGGATGCTCTGTCCAACAAGACTCCTGGAGCCGGCCTGGCCCCGCTGTATCTTCTGACCCATGGGAGGTCCAGCGTTCCCCTCAGCCATGGGCTTTGGTCCCTGAGGGCAGGCCCCTGTGGGTCTCATTCCAGATATAGCCAGGTAGCCCCTTCCTGCTTTCTCATGTCTTTCTATCCTCATGGGGCCAGGTAGACAGATGGCCAGAAGCAGACCAAGCGATCAGCAGGATGAGCTCACGCTCAGACCCCAAGGATGTACCACACCAAAGCTGCCCACTTGTGTGGAGACCCCTTGCAGGCTGCAGAGGCTTCACACACACACACAGACACACAGACACACAGACACACACACACACAGACACACACAGACACACACACACACACACACACACACACACAGCGCCCAGGGCCGGCCTACCTCTTCTGCTTGACGGTGATGCCCTTCTGCTTCAGCGCTTTCTCATTGGCCATCTGCAGGAGCTGGATCTCCTTGCGGGAGAAGAGGCGGATGGCGAATGCCTTCTCCAGCAGCTTCTCGGGGGACACCGTCTTGGCAATGTCCTTGACGAACATGCGGATGTCCTGTCTCACGTTGTCTGACTCGAGGGGCTGGCCCACTCTCACCTTGTGGAAGAATTTGAGGATGGCCAGAGCAACTCGGTACAACACCTTGTAGCCTTCGACGAGGAAGACATCAAAGACCCGGGCAAAGTAGTTGAGGGGCAGCTCGCCGAAGAGCCAGCGCTGCCAGTCAGAGTAGACCTGCAGGACATCCTCAGACACGGCCACCATGAGCTTGTGGGCCGCCTGACAGTACTTGTTCACCAGGTCCCCGAACGTCATGCAGGAGGACTCGAAGGCCAGGAAGCTCTGGTCGATGAGCTTCTTGCTGGGGTCGTTGCAGGCCAGGATGCGGCAGGCCTTCTCGAAGCACTCGGCCTCGTCGATGCTGTAGTGCAGCAGCAGGGCCACCACGGCCGGCAGAGCGGGGCAGAAGGAGATGTCGGGGAACTGGTTGGCGATGCACAGGAGGATCTTGCGCACGGCGCCCTCACCCCGGGCGTTCAGGCAGTAGGTGGGCACCTGTGTGTTGTCTACGAACTCGGGCAAAGGCAGGCTGCTGCTGCTGTGCTTGCCCACGATCTTGCCCACGATGTCGCTGTACACGCTGGCGTCCGGCGTGACTGTGCGGCAGGGGATGTCTCGGATCAGGCGCTGGTACACCTTCCCCCGAAGGGCGTGGCTCTGAGCCCAGTAGCCCTGGCGCGCCAACTGCTTCAGTTCCTGCAGCTCCGTGCAGCTCAGCTCCTTGGGCCCCAGGTCCTGGATGGCAGCATCCATCTTGTCCCTGTCCACAAAGCAGTTGTACCCCGGGGAGTCCATGGCGCCTGGTGTGCCTGGGAGGAGAGCCCTGGGCTGCCAGCAAGGAAAACAGAGTCGTTAAATCATCCAGCCCCCTTTCCAGAATTTTCCCTCCAACCTGCCTGCCATCCCAGACCCTGTAAAACTGAAGCACACACATCCAAAAAAAAAAAAAAGTCACCTTTTAAAGATTTTGTCTCGTTTTCTAAAAAGTACTCTTGCTTTAAAAAAAAAAAAAAAAGTGGCCAGGAGCTGATGGCTCACACCTGTCATCCTAGCTACTCAGGAGGCTGAGATCTGAGGATCACGGTTCAAAGCCAGCCCAGGCAGGAAAGTCCTTGAGACTCTTATCTCCAATTAACTACTGGAAAACCGGAAGTGGTACTGTGGCTTAGGCAGTAGAGAACTCGCCTTGAGCTGAAGAGTGTAGGGACAGCGCCCAAGCCCAGAGTTCAAGCCCCCCAAAAAAAAAAAAAGGTGTTTATTATTACTTTTTTTTGTCAGTTGTGGGTCCTGAACTCTGGGCCTAGGCACTGTCCCTCAGCTCTTCAGATCAAGGCTAGCGCTCTACCACTTGAGCTACAGCGCCACTTCTGGCTTTTTCTGCTTATGTAGTGCTGAGGAATCGAACCCAGGGCCTCATGCATGCAAGGCAAGCGCTCTACCACTGAGCCAACTTCCCAGCCCCTATTATTATTATTATTTTGCCAGTCCCAGGGCTTGAACCCCTGAGCTCCTTTTGCTCAAGGCTAGCGTTCTACCATTTGAGTCACAGCGCCCACTTCTGGCTTTTTCTGTAATTGAAGAATCTCCTGCCTGGGCTAGCTTTGAACTGCAATCCTCAAATCTCAGCGTCCTGATAGCTAGGATTATACATGTGAGCCACCAGCGCCCGGCATCTAAAAAGTATCCGTAAAGTACTACTGCATTTAGAATATGTGGCAGGGCTGGACCGAGGACACACGTGGTAGAGCGCCTTTCTTGTAAGCACAGGGCCTGGAATTCAAACCCCAAGACTGAAAGCAAAAAGAAAGAAAAAACCAAAGTGGCAGTTCTAAGAAGTCCTTGAGAACTTCTCAACACCAAACTTGTCACGTGGTTCCAAGTAAGAAGCTTGGACTGGGTCCCAGACGGCTACAGACAGCTCTCCACCTGGGGAGATCCTCTCAGACTCCTTGGCCTGACAGCTATCTACCGAGGAGCCAGGATCAGAGGAGACCGCTGGCAATGCCTTCTTGGAGCCTGTGAGAGGAGTGCGGGAGCCGCTGCGAGGTGGCCGGGCACCCGCTGCTCCCCGTGTCAGATGGAGCTCTGAACTCAGCTCCTAACTTCCTGATCCTGCCCGCTTGAAAGCTAGGTTCTCGGTAGGTAACTCCGGATGGAATTACTGTGGGGAGAGCTGAGAAATCGCAGCACATACATGCCGGTCTGGGAACCAGACATTTCTGGGCCCACAGAGCCAGTGTTGGGATTCGGTACTGGCTGGTCACGTGGGCAGCTACTCCAACTGGCAATGTGCTACTCCAGACTCTGGACAGGGAGCTCTGACACCTGCCCCTGCCCCAGGCTGCCGCTCTGCACGGGCAGCATGGAATCTCCATGCACATCACACGAACCTTTCTGCCCAGGACAGCCCAAGAATCTAGAGATGTCACAGGAGTCAGCTTCAGTGGGTGTTGGCAAATGACTACACTGTTCTGGTTTTTCTTGCATCTAGAACCTTCACCTGAAAATAGAAGAAAAGAAAAAGAATTACGAAGTAAAAATCTAATGGGTAGGGCTGTCCTGAGAACACATCTTGGCATGGTGCTATGTGTGGTAAAATACACATGAAATTTACCACTTGGCCCGGTGGCAGAATTCAGTGGCACCAAGTCCCTTCCACATTGCTGTGCTACTATGGCCCCACCCTCTCCACCTTTCCAAAGTGGAACTTTCCTGCTTAAACAGTAACTCCAGCCTTCTTTTCTCTCCTGCCTTCCTCCCTCCCTCCCTCCTTTTTTTTTTTTTGGGGTCCGGTCATGGGGCTTGAACTCTGGGCCTGGGCGCTGTCCCTCAGCTCTTCAGCTCAAGGCTAGCGCTCTACCACTTGAGCCACAGCACCATTTCTGGCGTTTTCTGTTTATGTGGTGCTGAGGAATCAAACCAGGGCCTCATGCATGCAAGGCAAGCACTCTACCACTAATCCACCTTCCCAGCACCTACTATTCTAATTTTTGTCCTCATGAATTTGTTCTAGGTACCTTGTATGAGTACATTATTTGTCCTTTTTTTTTTTTCTTCTGTGCTAGTCCTGGGACTTGAACTCTGGGCCCTGGTACTATTCCTGAACTATTTTTGCTCAAGGCTAGCATTCTACCACTTGAGTTACAGCCCTATTTCTGGCTTTTGGGTGGTTTATTGGAGATAAGAGTCTCATAGACTTTCCTGCCTGGGCTGGCTTTGAACTGCAATCCTCAGAACTCAGAGCCCCTGAGTAGCTGGGATGACAGGCGTGTAGCCAGGATTATACTGGCACCTGGCTTATTTGTCCTTTTGACTGATTTATTTCTCTTAGCACAATGATCTCAAAGTTAATCCATGGGTAGCCACCAGCAGAACTTCCTTTTCTTTTCCTGGAGGGAGGAGTGGGATGACACGAGCCTCTCTGTGCAGTCCTCAAACCCTCCCTCATCCACCTCAGCCTCCCTCCTGATGCTGAGATTGTAGGCATGCTCTGCCACGCTAGGGCACAGATTCTTATCCTTTCAAGGCACAGATATATTCTGTCTATGGAGGGATCAGTTTTGTTTACCACCTGTGGATGGGTGGACACGTGGGTTACATCCACCTCTGGGTTACTGTGGATAATGCTTCCATGAAGAAGGTCATAACACTTTCAGTGTTTCAGGCTTACACTCACTGATGGGTTTACAGAGACTTTCCTATAGAAAACACTCATGGTGGCTCAGTGGTAGAGCGCTTGCCTTGCATGCTCCAGGCCCTGGGTTCGATTCCTCAGCACCACATAAGCAA